GTTTTTGACCAAAGAAAGTTTTGAAAGAACTGTGACTGTTTTATTGTAATGTCAGGGAATTACTGCTTTTGCTTATTTGATAGAAAACTTAATCTGTTTTCCTACTTACTAACTAAAAGTGCTAAAGTGTGACTAAAGTGCTCTCAATCTAAGAACTCTTCTCGCGTAAACAAACTCCTAACTTGAATTTCCCAGAGACTAAATACGACCATTTGTTTTACTTGATCAAATTAACTTTTTCAACGCAAATTTATACCTCCCCACGACCAGAATTGCCAGACGGAGGTTCTGAACGTTTTCACGCCTCCGGGTAACAGATATACCCAAGTACATCTTATACTACCGCGAATTGCCTATGGCTACTGTGATCTATTGGTGATAACTCTTAGAAGATAAGACCAACTGCGAGTGAAAACAAAGAGCTGCTTCCCAGTCTTTCACATTTCTTTGCTGTTGATGAAGAGGGACCTGTCTCTCTCGAAATCTGTTGAGTTTTTTTGGTCACTCCAAATACAAGATTGTCTTTACTAATTTTAAGTTTCACTTTGGCGTGCTTCTTTCTGATTTAATTATTTAGTATTTTTACAAGCTTATCACTCGATAATTATGGAAAAATGTGTAAAAAAAGAAAGCATCATTAAGTATTTCAAAGAAGAAACCCAAGTTCGATGCAAATCAGTATAGTGGTCTTCCAAATCACAAGACTCTTGTTAACTGTTTGTTCAAGAAATTAAATAGTGATGCTATTTTACCATGGCCAATTTAGAACTTAATTTTAGTGGTTATAAGCTATTCGATTTAAATGTAATATCTCAAACCACAGAGAATTGTGTTGTCAAGTCGATGTGAAAATAACTGAAGTATTTCATCTTAGTTTGTATTCAAAATCTAAATAACTGTTAATAATTAAATAAATGTTCTAATAACTAAATTATATTTTTCTTCGTGGTTAAGGTAACGACCTTGTTCAAAAAGGTGATTTTGTCTAAAAGTATCAATTTCTTTTTCTTTTTTTCTTATTTCATATTTTTAAAGGTCACTCGTTTAGCTACCAAAAACAACTTTTCTTTTCTTGATATATTTTTTCAAGTGGAGATATACCAGTTTTTCTAAGAGACGACAAATCGGAAGTTATTGTTCGTCACAGCGGAAGTCCAAGTTTAAAGGACAAATTAAAAATGCAATTCTCACCCTTTTTTATGTTGTTCGTTAACTAAGTAATTTTAAGCATTTCAGTTATCCTGGAGAATCTGGCAAAGCATTTTCATCATAAATTTTCTCATTTTCGTTTGGGAACGTGAATAGTTGCGTTTATATGTCAGGTAATATTAATCTGTGAAGTTTAAATGCTATTTTTGATATATTTGTTTATGATTTATGTTCACAGCAACCTTTTTAACTCTAAAAATTGCTTATAGAATCACTTGAAATGTTGCACACAGAGTATGCATAATGTAGACTAAGAATTAGAAAATTTAGCCTTACGGAATTTAAATTATGTAATTTTTCTTCAATACTGTATGCATTTTTTTAATTTTGATGTGTTGACTAACATATTTAGCCATACTTTACTAGGGATTCAATATATTCCTGTTATTCTACTTCACTGTATGCTTGTGGTTAATATACGTAAAATAAAGTCAAAAATATACAATTTTTATCTTCCTTATTTTCTTGTCAGTGATGGTTGATGTGTTTGTTTATTCAAATATAAAATTTTCAGCTTTTTACATAAATTTCACGAAATAATGAATTTTTATCACTTTTCTAGTGATTATATTTAAGCTTATTTATTTAAGTATAAAAAAATCTCATACATTCGGAAATATAACAAACATTTCTAAAAAAAACACCCTTCGAACGAGGTCGGTTAGCATTTAAATGCTAACAAATTATTGGTACACATATATGCCTTCTAAATATCTATGAATATGTACCTATTATTTTTGTCCTAGTTTTGTAATATGGAAAACTTAGAATATTTTGTACTAATAATGTTTATACAACTTATTAATATATATATATATTCATGCGCTTTATTTTAGAAAATTATATTTTAATAACTTGCACATGAAAACATAGTTTTCTTTCTCAATTTATAAAATATGGTTTTTCACAGTTGTATGCTTAGCATTTCAAGTATGTTAAATTGACCCTTTGGAAACTGTATTAAGTAATTCATAAGTGTGGTATATTTAAAGGCATTACAGACAACTTCAGCTGAAACGGTTGCCTGAAGTTAGTTTTTAGTTGCAAGGAAAATCTTAATTTTATCATTGGTTTGAAATTATACAGTATCATTCAAAAAATAAGTATTTTATACACTTACTAACAAGAAAGCGTTTAAAAAAAACAGTTGCATTAAAACTTAACTTTCTCAAAACATGGTTTTTCACTATTGCTTGCATGTTATTTCAAATATGGTGGCAGAGACTTGAAATTTCATAGACGCCTTTGTACGAGGATTATCTTCTAATTAAACATAAAAATGTCCGCTTTTAATATTCAAAAACTTGATGCATGAAACTATTAGATATTTTCTTACTGAAATATATTTTTCGAATTCATCTAAAATTAAAATGACAACCATGAAAATTTGTAGGTTTTTAGTTCACAGTAAGTATCAAATGTTATAAAAGTTGTATATTAAATATGGAATCAAATATGTATCGAATGTTTTTAATTGGGAACGCAAAGTGGAAATCTGCCGTGAACATATAACACATTGTCACCCAAAATGTACTAATTTATAAAGCTATCTATTGCAACACAAGCTTTCTGGTTACTACTTCTCAAAGCTACTATATTACGTAATTGGCTGTAAAAAGTGGAATTAATTACTTTTGAATTAAATAAATAATCTCCATTCTTACAACATAACATGTTTGAAATTCTTGAGGGTTGTAAGATGTACAATCACCCTTAATTATTTAATTTTAGCTAAGAATTGTCATTCAAGTTTTGGTATTTATTAATATCTTCTATACTTTCGTTGTTTAATTTATGAAATACGTTTAAAAATAATTTAAATCTTTATAAATGTATATATGTATTGTTTGAAATTTCAAAAGGGGTGATGATCTAGTAATGGTGAAAAGAGTGCATGAGGGAAAAAAAAAAAAAAAAAAAAAAAAAGAAATGAAAAGAAAAACTGAGAACAAAATAGTTAGTCAGAGTAATAATGTATTTCATTCCATATGCATATTAGCATAACTACTAACTAGAGCTACAGTTTAAGCAATATGGTTGCAAAGCTTAGGCTCAGAGCTAGACCATAACCCTTATAATAAAAAGTCACGTAAAGTTGAAACATGATGATCGGTCATTAATATATCTTCTCCTTGTGCTGTGTGTCCAGTCCTTGCAAATAGTCCTTACTGTGACTAAATAGGATGAACCTTCTTGTTTAAAGAAGAATTCATCACTGATTTCATTAAGTTGCGGCCTCGTGGCCTCAACCAATTTATAAATGTACTCAAGTAAATCCTTTCAATCACATATGGATATCAGTTTGTATCAACACAGGTGTAACTGAATTTTTTACTTCCTTGTACGAAGTAAAAAGGAAGTATTGTAATCGCGAAAAGTTTCAAGCAGCATATTTCAACGAAAATATCCCATTTTGACCTCTCTCAAACGCAATTTAACGATGTATTTCCGTGATATCTGTATGTAAGGACAGAATAAAACAATCTTTTCCTCCAAAAAAATTATAAAACTGCTTTAAAATGAATTCTGAAGAGAAGTACGTATGTATTGGCGTCTGTACGAACATATGTACGTACGTGCGTACGAACGTATCTCGCATAACTCAAAAACGAGTAGCCTCACAACGTTGAAATTTTGTATATAGGACTGCTATCATGTAGATGTGCACCTCGTATTTTGGTTGCAATCGGCCGCACCAAACGTATATAAATATATTTATATATATATCCACTCTGTTACCCGGCTCAGTGATCTCAGTTTCTTTACTCTTATATGTTTGTAAATTGTACATGTTTTGTTTTAAAAATGATTGAATTATGTTGTTCTTATCTTCCGGTTAAGGTTTTTATGCCTTTAGTAAATCTGTATGCAATATTTTTAGAATTATCAACAACTTTAAAATTGTTTAGTGCCGCTAAGCCTAATAATGTTTTTGATGGCGGCCATTGCTCTTGTTTACATTTGAAACAGCAGGATAGCGGATTTGTTGTCAATCTAGAGAAACTTAGCTTCGCAACAACAAAGATAACGCCTTCGTTTATTATTTAAATCATGCTTAATCCTTTCTAGAATGTTTTCGAGGAAATAAGCGTTTAAGATTTACTTCGTAATTTTTAATATAGATATTTTGAGTTTTTATGTATCTTTGCCTTGTCGCCAAGTGAAAACTGAATTAACTGAATGAGAAATACTCAATCGCCTGTGAAAACTGTTTCTTTTTTGTTTTGTTTGCTTAATTTCTTTTATACATCATTCTAGCTTTATTATAGTATTTGAATAGAACATGTGGCAACGATTAGATAATTCTTTAAATGATATAAATTTTGTGCATTCTGAGTTATAATATGAAAGAAATATAATACTGTTAAGTGAACCTAGCGCCAGAGTGTCGCTATGGTAAATAATGTGAATTTTAAAGAATGCGTTTATTCTATTGTGGTTTATGCGGTGTCGGCGAAGTAGGTTTAATTCCATCTAATAAGTTTAAATGAAATGCAAGAAAAATGCGTATAATTTAATATTCCGTACAAGGAAATCATGTGGTTTACACATCAGATTTTTTTTAATATATAGAAAATAGCATTTTTTGAAACAAACTTTTGTATCGCCTTGCTTAGTTTATTTGTTACAAAATTTTAAAAGGTGTTATTTAAGAATCACATTCAAATTACTAACAAATATTTTTAAAAAATTAAAATTATCACTGCTTCTGGATTAAATATATGATTTTATATATTAATATAAAAGGGATACATATGTACATTCAAAGTATTTTTTCTTTCTTTTTTTAGTTCCTCAAGCATCAATACGGGAGGCTCCAGATCTGTATGTAAAGACGGGAAGCGCTATTAACTTGACCTGTGTAATAAGCCAAAGCCCAGAGCCCCCTGTTTTCGTGTTCTGGTACATCAACCAAAGGATGATCAACTATGATTCGACCAGAGGAGACATCACACTGCAGAAAGCTGGAAAAGACACAGCCATCAGTAGACTCTTTATTAAGAATGCTCAGCCGGCAGACTCTGGAAATTATACATGTGGACCTTCTAATGCCGGTGCTACTAGTATTAGTGTACATGTTCTTAATGGTGAGTTGAATACCATTTGGTTTTTAACATACTTGGATAAATACTGTAGTAAAAAAAAATAAGTCATTTATAAAATACCGAAAATAATGCAACAGAGTTTCTTTTTCTACGGTGCATACGTTCCGCGAAATACCATATAAAAAAGGTTAAAATAGTAAGCTACAATAAAGAATAATGATAGTTAGGTCTGCTTACATAAAAATCAATTCAAAAACTAAAAAAAAATCAATTGATAAAAATCAATTTATCAAAAACTAAAATTCACTCTTGTTTATTGCATTCTAATTTTATTTAAAAAATAACATCATAAAAATATTTTTAAAAAATCAATGTATTCAAATTTTAATATACCACCAGAGGGTTTGTTATCGTTTTTATGCTCTCTCAGACTATTAGTCTGATCTTCGTCTCACTCCAGCTAACATTATCAGGACTTTTATTTCCTTTAATCTGCTTGGCAAACATGATGTGTCATTGACTACGAACTATGTCCTGTGGAGTGCAGAAGTGATGACAAGATCAGAAGGTTTTAATTACCCTTTATTTTCCACTATATTACAGGCGCTCCCGCACTTCGGGATATAAATGCCTGTGGTCAGAACGTAAAAATATAAGAACTACTGACTAACTAAAATTTAAATAAAAGCTAACTTTACACAAATGACTAACACTAAGACTGGCCTTTTAAATTATTACATATGTAGTACCCAAACTGTGGAAAACTACAATACGTCTAAAATAACGAGAGGATTAAACCTCTGGCCTTAAAGGTGGACAGAAGCTGATTGAAAACTCGTGTGGAATGCAGTGGCAAGACGGCTCACTTTCTCTCTATAATTCTTTGCAAAAAGCCACAACTTAAATACTTAATCGTTAGAAAGTACAATTTGCATAAATAAGTTAACGCGTTTATTCTGGCCAGAAGTAGAAAATAAGAGAGGATAGTAAAGTTTTAAAATAAAAAATAAACGTTAGTAAAACTTAATATCCTTACAACACAACTTTTGTTTTGGTTAAATACAACATAAAATCACAAAAAATTTAAAAGCACTGTATGTTTAGAAATATCAAGAAGTGTTGGCACACATTTCCCTTTTCTTTTTTAGTCCAAAAGAGTTATTAGTCTCGAAACATGCTTTTGCGGTGTTTCAATTTTCATTCGAGTCTGTTGCCTTTCAGAAAAATATAAGACTTGATTTTTTTTCATTTTTAATCTGTCCATTATCAATTAACAAATAAACTATTCCTAAGAAATAAATGCATATTTTAAGAATATTATTTTTTTATTTTTTATCTGATTGATTTAAATAGAAATGCATTTCTTTCTTGATATGCATAATTAAGAATATTAAATATTTTATAGCATTGCATTACATATTTATCACCTTTTAAATATACAGAAGATATTGAACGTTCCCGTGTTAGTTTAGATCCCGTGTTAGTTGTACATTTATTCAAACGGAATCGGTATTCAAGACATGCCTGAAACTCAAAGGCATAGAATAACATTCATTTACTTGGTGTCCGCCTAAAACATAGCGGAGGAAACTACGCAAGGCGAAAATGTCGCGGTACAAAACATCGTGAGAGAAATGAAAGCAAAGAGAAAACATCACAGTTCTAAAACATCATGGTACAAAATATCGTCATCGAAAATAAAGCGGTTCAAAAACTTCGCAGTTTAAAAATACCGTCGTCAAAAATATCGCGGTAAAAATAAAGCACCTACAAATCATCGCATGACGATAAAATCGCGCACATTCGCTTTTCAGCTTTTAAAAATTATTAACTTATGACAAAAATTATAACAAAATGCTGGACTTTTCCTCAAAACTATTTGTATAATATCACGTAATATTATCAGTTGTTATATTTTAAACTACTAAAACTTTAAATAGAACGCAATTCAGAGAGAGCTAATCCTATCTCACCACAAATTCGCTTCAATCAACAACAACAGATATCTAAACAACTGAGAACAGATGGTCTCTCTCTGGCTTTTTATAGCTTTTTAAATAGGCCGCGTGAGACAGGTAACGGTCATTGTAGTCAAGTTCGAAGGGAAAACTCCCAAAGAGGTGAGGGTGTCACAGACGTCTTGAAAAATCGTCTCGGAGTTTCTCAGATTTTTCGAAAGAAATTCAATTTTAAGGTTTCCATTAAGGCTCTGGTTCCGCTCGTAAAAACATGCATTAATCATGAGCTTGAGAAATTTAGATTGCACAATTTATAGCTTTCGATGAGCCTTTTTAGTTTAAGTTTCAGTCACCCATATAGGAGAGGCGTATCTTCCTCTTTTTATTTCCTTGTATAGTTAAGCTGAGAGTTATACATTTCAGTCAAAAAAAATTTCTACAATGGGTTTAGGAAACAATTGAAAAATTCTTCCTACCCGTCAGACGAAATGAACTGAAATGAGCTCCTGTCAGACGATATCGTTTGATCAGGCTGTATTATCACGTTAGCGTGGTCACATGTGGCCAAAAGAAATTGACATAATCGCTCATCTTCGCGCATGATATCTGGCAGATATATATGGCAATCCAGATTTAAGTTAAATTAATGTGAACTCGTGGGACAATATAAAAGAGAGAGTTAAGCTCAGATCGCGTTTAATGAAATTTCTTTCAATAATTATTTGCAATAAAATAATTGTATATTAGCAAGTAATGGATCCAGATAATCGTCTTTAATAAAATTTCTTTATAAAATTGACTTTTCCTTAATTGCCTTTCATTAGTACTGTGACTTGATATGTAGTCTTTGTAAGCATATAATAAGCTCTTATGATGAAAACTACTAAATGTGATGCTGGATGTGAAATTTGCAACGTTTTTAAAATTTCCGTGACTTGTTGTTACGTTACTCATATTTTTAGAATTTTGGATTTCATATTGACTCTTTTTAGTGGAAACGGTTTTGATTTACATTTATTTAAAAAATAGTTAGTTATAGTAAATTATAATACGTTAACATAACAAGCAAAAACCGCGACTCAAAATTATAAATAATTCAGTATAAGTATTCTTCTAGAACTTCAAGAGATTCGACATATAAATATCATTATTTCTAATGCAAAGTGTTCAATACAGAGAATTCAGGTGAGGCATTTAAAATGCTCAAAATTGATTCTCTATAATATTTATATTCTAGAACTAAAATTATTCATGTTTTTTACCGAGCTGATTAAATTATTACTTTTTTTTTAAAAGGAGAAGTATTTCTGACATTTTTTTTTCTTTTCTTACCACGGGGAAAAAAACTCCGAGAAACACCTAAGCCATCCACTTCAGCCAAAATTTATTCTCTCTGCTTTTGTAATCCAACGTTCACAAGAGGTTATAGCAGATTGGTGTGGATTAAAATTTAATTAACTCAAGCTAACTGCTAGACTCTGGCCCCCTTACATTAACTGAGTTAGATAAAAAAAAAAAAATCGAAGTTTCTGGATCAGTCCATTATGCAAAAAGGAAGTTTGAACCTCAAAGTAAATAAATAAAACAATCATAGGATTAATTCAAAAACAAATTATTAAACTTTCTATCAATTACATATTAATAAGCCGTTATTTTCAGTATAACTGCAAATGTTGGTTACCATTTAGTGATCATTTCATGCTGTTTCATTACTTTTCTTGTGGAAAAGGGTTTTCTATCTGTTTAGCAATTTCTGCTTGTTTTAGCACCTGTAACATAAAAACAAATAAAGCCAGAGTATAATCGCAAGTCAATAATCGTTTAATAATCATAATACATAGCTGAACATGAGCAAATTAATCTATTTTATTTTAGAATAATTTTAGAATAATAAAGACTAATGAAAATGGTAATAATTCCGTTACGAACTAAATTTGTCAAAACATGCAATATTTAAAATTCTATACATGCATTATTGCATACTCCGTTTAACACTCATAACGGTGTGCAGTGTTATTGCCCGCGACTTAGTTAATGAAAAAAACGTATCATTTTAAATATTTTAATATAGTTAAGTTTATTAAATTTATTTTTATTACAAGTATCACATTTTTCAAAGACTGATTTTGATTTAATTTTTATTTTATATAATAAGTTAGTAGGATCATAAGGTTTTCGAAGAAATCAGCAGTGCCCTTGCCAGGATTCGAACTCCGGATGGTCCAAATATGCATCGTGTTGCTTCTACTTACACAATAAGGACATGCGGAAAATAGGGATAAATACCGTTTCTACTCCCCTTTTTAAGCAGCAATTAGGGATGAGGGGATTTTCATCACCAACACCTGGTTGTGACGAATTATCTGTCACCACCTTTCAGTTCTCGCACCATTGCAGATACATTAGGTTTTCTTCAATGTCAGGAAACTGAATAAATTCTGAATGCACTCGGCGAAATTCATACTCCGTACCTCCCGAATACGCGTTGAGTGGGATTCCAGTTACACCACGAAAGCGTATGGAAAGTAGGGAGAAAATACTCTATAAGGTGACAACAATTTATGTTAAACAAAATTTTTTCTAGGATTGACTGTGCCAAAATAGCTAATTCCATAATTCCTTAATTTTTTTGCTAAATTTAAAAAAAAGTAGAAGCATTATTCCCGTATTACAAAAAGGCACAATCACCCAATAACCGGCATGCTCCTCAAGAGTTTCTTCAAGTGGTCTGCTTTCATCTTTTTCCAAATAAAAATATCCACATAGGCATTTACAAAGTATTTTGTTTTCACATGACCTGAAAGTCAAACTTTTATGAGCTTTCAACGGCATATACTGAGCAAGCGGTATCTTACCTATGTACTGAACAATGTTCACCATTTGTAATACTCTCGCCTAGTTTGTAATACAATAAAATATATTCCAGGCATCTAAAGCAAGAGCAAATAGATGGGTTTTTAATCCTTGCGATCTAGTTGATTTCAAGTCAAAGCGCAGATATTTCATAAAGTCCGAAAGTATGCTTTTAGGTAGTGCTACACTAAAGAATTTTGAGCCCGACGTGTTGGGCCATAAACCAGAAAC